TGTCAGCTATTCCTTTTGGCTGAGTCTTTTTTTGTTGTTGTTGTTCTAGAGCTTTCAACTGTGCTGTTAAGTCCCTAATGTGAGATTTCTCCACCTTTTTTAATGTAGGCACTTAATTATATGAACTTTCTTTTTAGCGCTGTTGTCATAGTGTCACATAGGTTTGGGTACATTGTACCTTCATTTTTGTTGAATTCTAGGAAGTCTTTAATTACTTTTTTTTTTCTTCCTTGACCCAGGGATGATTTAATTGGATCACTGTTCAATATCCATTAGTTTGTAGGTTTTCTGCAATTAATTAGTTTTGTTGTTGAATTCTAACTTTAAATCATGGTGATCCCATAAGATACAGGAGGTTCCAAATCTTTTGCATCTGTTCAGGTTTGCTTTGTTACTGAGAATGTGGTCAATTTTAGAGAGGGTTCTATGCGATGCTCAGAAGAAGATATATTTTTTGTGTTTGGGTGAAATGTTCTGTAGATGTCTATGAAGTACATTTGAGTCATGACATCTGTTAGTTTTCTTATTTCTCTGATAAGTTTCTGTTTGGTTGACCCGTCTATCGGGAGTATGGAGTATTATGTCTCCTACTATTAGTGTGTGGAGTCTGATGTGCAATTTAAGCTTTAGTAACGTTTCTTTTACATATGTGGGTGCTCTTGTATTTGGGTCATAGATGTTCAGGATTGAGACTTATCTTGATGGATTTTTCCTGTGATTAATATGAAGTGTCTTTCTCCATCTCTTCTGATTGATTTTAGTTTGAAGTCAATTTTGTAGAACAGCTACAGCCACTTGTTTCTTGGGTTCATTTGATTGGAAAATTTTTTCCCATCCCTTTACTCTGAGGTAGTGTGTATCTTTGTGGTTGAGGTGTGTTTCTTTTTTTTTTTTTTTTTTTTTTTTTTTTTTTTTTTTTTTTTTTTTTTTTTTGGTTTTTCGAGACAGGGTTTCGCTGTGGCTTTGGAGCCTGTCCTGGAACTAGCTCTGTAGACCAGGCTGGTCTCGAACTCACAGAGATCCGCCTGCCTCTGCCTCCCAAGTGCTGGGATTAAAGGCGTGCGCCACCACCGCCCGGCTTGAGGTGTGTTTCTTGTATGCAGCAGAATGATGGATCTTGCTTCCATATCCATTCTGTTAATCTGAGTCATTTTATAGGTGAATTGAGTCCATTGAGATTAAGAGATATTAATTACCAGTGATTGTTAATACCTGTTAATTTTTGGTGGTAGTGTTTGTGTGTTTCCCTTCTTTGGGAATTACTAGTGTGAGGTTATCTGTTGCCTGTGATTTTTGGGTGCAATTAGCCTCATTGGGTTGGAGATTTTCTTCTAGTACTTTCTGTGAAACTGGGTTTATGAATAGGTGCTGTTTAAATTTATTTTTGTCATGGAATATCTTCTTCATTGATGGTGATTAAAAGCTTTGCTACGTATAGTTTTCTAGGCTGGACAATGTATGCCAGCGTAGATACACAAGTTCCTCTTTGAATGTTGACAAAAGAGTGTTTATGTGTAGTAAACTCTACATAGAGATGTTTGGGAAGGATTATATTGTTTCTGTTTTTAGGCATTTAAGGAAAGCTTTGTGCACTCATAATATTGATGTCTACCAAGTTAACAGATTTCAGTGGTCCCAAACTAAGATGAGAATGCAAATGCACACATGATATCAAGACAATACATAAAACAAAAAGAAGCAAAACCAATGTTTCACATGAGAGAGGCACCAAATATAAATATTATTTCACAGTTGTGTATATCTGTGGAGATCAGAAGATACTGGGATCTATTCAGTGTGCTGAATAGCTGCCACTCTATAATCCTAACCAATCCAAACTAAATTTAGAAAGCTCAGCAAAAATCAAATATTCTTATCAGAGTAATTAAAAAATAAAGTTATGGAAATTAATATGTGCCAGATTTTATTCTCGGCATCCACGTAATGTCAGATAGACAAAAGCAGAGTAAATATTGTCATTAGCAGAATTTAAAAAGAGTATCATACACATGAATGAAAAGATGCTGGATTATAGCACAAATCCACAGAAGAAATAAGGATCAATAGTCAAGGTTATTCTATGAGCAAATGTAGTGGAGAGTTAAATTTATTTCTTCTTTGGCATCTTGTTTTACTCAGATTTTCAAGTTAAATACAAAGTGTGAGAGTTAAATATCCGTATGAAATACGCATAAAGGTATAATGAAAAAAATTTGTGATGGAGTTATAGTAAGGTAAAATGTGTATATAGTCGATAATAAGATAGCATTATCTAGATTATATTATTATAAACTTTACTGCCCAAGAAAATCACTAAGAAAATAGCTCAAAATGCAATGCTTAAGTTTAACTTTTTTTGTTTCTTTTAACAATATAGATGTCCATAAACTCTAACATTCATTTTTTTTTCAGGCTGAATGTCTAAGAAGAGGTGGGTCGATTTGCTTAGCTTCTAATGAGAGCCTAATAGCTGATGACATCAGAATGGTTAGGAGTGCTTCCTGAAAATAATCGATAGTGAGATTAGAATCCCAGGGCCATTCAAGGACAAGCCTTGAACATTCTCTCTCTCTCCCTTCCACTCTCTCTTTGCCTGGTTCTTGTTCTCCCTCTCTTCCCTCCTCCTTTTCTTACTTTCTATTTTGTTTTCTCACTCTCTTTTTCCTTGTTGGTGGTCTCAATTAGAATCTCACGTTACCTTAATATACATTACCTTAATATATTTTGTGAATGAAACACTAGAGTGTATAAAGTTAAAACTATTGAAAAGTATAAAAAATCAGCTGTTTTTTAAAAAGATACAAAGTTCATTAAGTTTTAGGTAGACTGATAACAACTAAAAGGGAAATGTCTCAGATTTAAAAGAGGTGTGTCTGGAAATGTTCTTTCTGTTTCTGTTGTGTGGAACAATTTGAGGAGTATTGGTACTAGTTCTCCTTTGAAAATCTTGTACCATCTGTTTCTGGGCTTTTTGTTGTTTGGGAGACTTTTTTTTTTTTTTTTTTTTTTAGTTCTTCGAGACAGGGTTTCTCTGTAGCGTTGGAGCATGTTCTAGCACTAGCTCTTGTAGACCAGGCTGGCCTAGAACTCACAGAGATCCGCCTACCTCTGCCTTCCGAGTGCTGGGATTAAAGGCGTGAGCCACCACTGCCCGGCCTGTTTGGGAGACTTTTGATAACTGTTTTTATTTCTTCAGCTGTTATAGGTCTTTTAATTTGCTTATCTGGTTTTGATTTAATTTTGGTAAGTGATATTCATCCAGAAAGTTGTCCTTAAAAAGGGCTGGGAAAGAAATCAGAGAAAAAACACCCTTCATAATAGCCACAAATAGCATAAAATATCTTGGAGTAACTCTAACCAAACAAGTGGAAGGCTTCTATGACAAGAACTTTAAATTGTTGAAGAAAGAAATTGAACAAGGCACCAGAAAGTGAAAAGATCTCCCATGCTCTTGGGTAGGCAGAATTAACGTAGTAAAAATGGCAATCTTACCAAAAGCATTCTACAGATTCAAAGCAATACCCATCAAGGTCCCAGCAAAATTCTTCACAGACCTCCAAAGAACCATACTCAACTTTATATGGAAAAGTGAAAAACCCAGGATAGCCAAAACAGTCCTGTACATTAAAAGAACTAGAGGCATCACAATCCCTGACTTCAAACTCTACTACAGAGCTACAGTCCTTCTTTCAAATGACTTTAAGTTGTATCAAATTGATATAAACCCATCTAGCGTAGCTTTTTACTTCCCTTTTTGGTGCTGTTAATCAGAATGATGGCCTCACCCAAACTGTGTGACCTCAGTATTCCTTAACAACATCCTCACGCCATTTGTTTTCCTTTTCTTTTGAGTATCCTCCCGTTTGCAATTCAGCTTTTGATGGACCTTAATTTGATTGTAGTCTATTGATTGCTGGTGCTGCAACTTCCTGCCTGACACCACCTTTTTTTTCTCATAAATGTGAGTTGTTTGCCCTCTGTGAAAAGCTATAGCAGAAATTATTTATTTTGGGTGGGGGGAGCCAAAATGTATGAAGTATCCATTCATTTAAAAGTTTAAAACATCTAACTTATGGATATGGTATTTACATCATTTATCTTTCTTTTTTACCTTTTACAATCCTCCTGTGTCCTCCATTTGCTCTGAAATTTGTGGATTCTTATTTAAACATTGTTACATACATAGAGAGAAAGACAGACAGACAGCTAAGAAAGAGAGTTTATTGAGTCCATTTAGTGCTGTTTATATGTGTATGTGATTAGAACTGACCATTTTCTTTGGGTTGGCTCTCAGATTTTCCCTGGAGAAGAATGATTTTTCCTCTTTCTGCAGCAATCAATTTTGTGTAGTTTTTTTTATGCATCTTGGAATACGGATTTGTGGTTCTTTTCAAATGGAGACTTCTATTTTACAAGTTCTGCTCTTAGCAGTTTGTTTTATTTCTGACTTAATTGAAGTGATGTTACAAAAGAGCTCATACCTCTCCCAAACCAGAGATAATTCCATACATGCACAGCAATACTTACATTGAAAAAAAAAGTGTTACAATCATAATCCCTCTGTAATTAGTGTACAGCTTTGCCCAAGTGCTTTTGCATGATTCATCTAAATTACACAAATCAATATCATTATGTGGCATTGTCGATGAGTTTTTAAGTCAATGCTGATGAGTAACAGGTCTCTCTAAAGGGCTTGTGCTTTGTTGTAATTCACAGTGTCACGCTACCATTGGTATTGTTTTTTAAATACCAACTGTACTGAGAGAAAAATGGAATCAGTACAGAAGAAAGTGAAAAATGAAGGATCTGTTTGGTGTCTCTACTTCCAGAAGTCTTCTCATGCTATCATGCTAAATACAGCCATATCGCACTGTTCTCTAACACTTGGTAGTAGATACAAACGACAATGAAAGTAGCTCCCAGGGAAAGAAATGAATGACTTAGGAATACTCTCTCTTCCCACCACTGATTGTGCCTCTGGTTCCTGTCTTCTTTTCCAGGAGTGACAACTGTTCTAACAATGACAACACTGAGCATCAGCGCTCGAAATTCTCTCCCCAAAGTGGCTTATGCTACTGCCATGGACTGGTTTATTGCTGTTTGTTACGCTTTTGTGTTTTCTGCCCTAATTGAATTTGCAACTGTTAATTACTTCACCAAAAGAGGATGGGCTTGGGATGGGAAGAGTGTAGTAAATGACAAGGTAAGTGTCCGCTTGCTGCCCATTCAAGCTTGTCGCAGAATTCTTTTTCAAATTTGACATTAAGAAATTCAGTATTAGTTTTCAAAAGTTTGTTCTTCCTTGAAATCCTTTAAGGGTGCTTGTGGTGACGCTTCTTCAAGGCACTCCTCAGTGTCTGTGGAGTTGTTGCATGTTCACACGTGCTCTCTCTCTCTCTGCACTAAGTAAGGGTTCTTTTTAATTCTAATTTTTCATAGTGAAATTTATAGCTGTGTATTCACTCTAGCTTGTACAACTGACCAGTTAGTGTACTGGAACCCAGGTCTGTCTGTCCATAATGTTCATGCCTTTAGCCACCACAATACATTAGAGTAGAACTTGGAAAGGAAAAGTAGCGCTTGTTTCACCTATTGAAGAATTTGATTCTGACGATGGGTCAATGATTCTTTATGCATCCATGCTTTTTATAATCCCTTTGTAGTAGTGAAGGTAACACTTTATTTTTATCATATCATATGTAGTAAATATGTGGATACAGAAATACCCCAGCATTGTCAAATTTCTCATGGGATCCAATTATGTACACTTACTATTAACTTTTAAGGTTATCGATACATAAATTTTCATGTCTCAAGTATTGAGGCTAATGGGATATTTGTGTACAGATGTATCAGTGATTTCCTTTCTAATTGCCTAAGTTGGCTTCTGCTTTAGGATAAGACTTTGTATGTATTCTAATGTGCTATTAATATTTTTATTAGTGGTAGAAATTTGGACAGTTTCTTTGAACACTAGATTATATATTTTTTATAAAATTTGAGAATGTTTGTTGTGATTTGATTATTGGTTTAGTTATTTGAATATATATACATATTTGCATATTTAATTTCTATACCATGTTACAGTTTATGGAAACAAATTTAGAATGTTACACTTTTTACATTTGTTCTTTGTTCTCATTTATAAGCTATAGAAATTCTAATTACAGTTGCTAGTTTATTTGTAAGTTGTATTTGTGCACTAGCAGAAGTAGTGATTTTATATTGAAAAGGACTTAATCAATTTTCTATGCTTAACTTCTGGTTGATTCTAGTGTTTCCATTACATTTTATTGTTGATTTGTGTTGTTTTTACTTCTCATACAGTGAATTGCTTTTCATTTTATCTGTGTGATTATTTCTCTTTAACTATATTGGTTATACATACACTTTCTCCATAGATGCTGAAGTAGGATGGTGCACCACAAGCTCTTTTTAAAGATGTTGTTGAGTAATTTTTATTATAAATATGGTAATACACCAATAAGAGAACCTATTGATCTTAACTGAAAGGTATTACAAACTTTATGATGGAGGCTTCCATCTGTACTCTGTTCAGCTATATTATTAAAATGAAATTGGAGCTGTAGTCCCGTAAGTTACTTTGAAAATATGTAGGTGTTTAGAGTGGAAAGAAAACCAAGTAAAGTGCCAAGAGGTGACGTGACTAGCTGTCCAAATTTTAGGTGGAAAATAATAGTTTTCTTGATACACGGAATTTTTTGTTCTTTTACAGTCAGTTGTCTACAGGTTGTCGTTTGCTTTGATCCTGTGTAAATATAAGTAAATATGGTCATATTGTCAGTCAATATGGAACATCTGGATCCCATTCATTGTTTTATCAAAAGCAGAGTATTCACTTGATACATAAAAAATACTTAGAGACATATATCCATTCTGTGTGTTGTAAAACAAAACATATGTACTTTTATCTGCCTAGAGTCTAGATTTTACATAAAATATTGTGAACAAATGATATTTAAGACTTCTTTTAAAAAAAACATTTAAAAAGTCATACATTTATGCATTAGCTTCTTTTGAGTCCTAGGAAGCTGATGGACCTTTATACCGTGTTAGCCTCAGTTATGACATAAGTAAAGATAATCTCATTGTAAAAGTGTATAAATTCTGTACAAACTCTGGATCAAAGAGTCAAATTCTAAAAGGACACACCAGTGTCTGTTTATAGAGGCCCCAAGTACTTAAAAAGTACTTTTGCCATTTTGCTGCCTCATTCCTATTTTCCTGTGAGGAGGTTTTGTTAACTTGCCATAAAAGCAAATGGGTACGTCCTCCACCTTACCTCATCACTCTGTCCACCCCTCACCCCAGATCCAGCTGTCCATTCACCATGCAGGCTCTGTGAAATGAGTTCTCCCCTGTCGCTTTCTTTTCCATCAGCTCTTAGTCCTCTGTACCCTGGAACTCTTTCCTTTCCTTCACTGTCCCATAATTGTCTCTCCCTAATCTAATAACATGTGAGTTTTTCCACCTCACCTTGGGATCATCACTGAGCCTTCTGCTTCTATGCTAAGGACACTGTCTTGGGTCCAACTCGGTAACATTTTCTCTTTTCATTAAGAAACGCTTCAGTAATGTCAGCATCCTTTCCTCACACCCTGGCAGCTGCCACAATTTATTCCACACTGTGAAGTCCTTTGCCACAGTAAATATATTGAGCTTCTCTTGAATGCTCATGTTCCCCAGAGAAAGCCAAGTCAGCCTTCTTTGATGCTGTTTTTGTGTGTCTTATTGTTTACAATGTGGTTCTCAAATTCAAGGTTGTATTGGTAACTCTATACTAAATGCATTATCAGTCCATTTGCTGTCATAAATCATATAATCCTTGCTTAATATTGATGTAAATTTCAGTTTTTGATGTTATTTCTGAGTACTTCTTTTCAACATTTTTGGGTCCCACGAAAAGTTTAAGTATATGTGCTTTCTTGGGTTTTTTTGGAAAATCTTTGTCATTTTCTGTTAATGAATATTTGGACTTTAAGTCACTAATCGTCATAATGCTGGAATAGCTATTTTAATAAATCATTTATCTATAGTCAGTTGCCTAGCATCTTACATATCATACATATTCTGTAAATATGGGATGGATTATTGAAGTATTACCAATTCAGAGATCTATAATCAATACTTTTGTTTACAGTTTAACATCTCATCTGTATTATAAACTGCATCTTTCATCTCCCAGCATATATGTACATATATATACTATATATATGTCCATCATATTCATATATCCACTATATATGTATGTATATGTGTGTGTGTGTGAATCACTCTCACACACACCCTTCTTATTGCCTAGTTGTTTTCCCCTGTCTCTAACATTGAAAACTTTGAGAACTGCCTATGCATAAATTTTTTTCAGTAATTTACAAAATTTGTGATAAAATGTCAAGCACTAAGACTGGAGAGAGGGCTCAGCAGTTAAGAACATTGACTGCTCTTCCAGAGTTGTGGATTCCCAGCACCCAAAGGTTGGCTCACAACAATCAATACCTGTCTATAAAATTGTTATGACGAGGCAATAATGTAATCATTAATAAGCATGGATATTGGCAGCCTCTGCCCCTGCCCACACACCACAGGGGGAAAAAGCAAAGCCAAAAAAAAGAACATCCAAGCCAAACAAATCAAAACAAAAACAAAAAAATAAACAAAAAACAAACATAAATTACTTCTTCATCTTTTCAATGTTTATGTCTAGGTACTTATCAGGAATTGATACCCCAGTCAGGGGCATGGCATAATGTCACATTACAACAAATGAGACTTTTTCAGTACCTGAACTAATTCATGCTCATTATCCTTCCTACAAACTTCATGATGTATCTCACTATTATTTTACAGATTATTTGCTGTTTCCTACCTTTAATAAAGTTTTTTTCTCTAATGTACACTGTTATCTTAAAGTTATCTGAAACATAATACACATCATTTAACTTGTCAGCTCTATAATGAATTCCCTAGGATAGTAATTCGGGGTTAAGATGGTGCAAATATGTGGTTTCCTTGTGGGTTTACTTATATGATGAATGACAGATAGAATTTTCCAGGAGTACTATGCATTTATTTGTACAAGCTTGTAAATGTTTTTAGTTTAAGGCTGAAAATTATTTTAGTAAAATTACTTGGTTAGGGACACACATTTCACAAATGTTGACTCTGAAATACAAGCTATCTAAGCTCATATTCCAGCTTAACCTATTACCAATGACAATCATTCCCCCCAAATCTCATTTGTCTTCATGTCTTTACTATTTAACATTCTGGATCTTCTTCATGTCATATCCTCTTTCCTTCGTTGACTTAACCTCAAATTTTGCAAACTTACATAAATAAATTGAATCCCTCTGTTTTCCCAGAGCATGAGGCACTAATTTCTTTTTTTATCACTAGATTAGAAAACTTGTGAGAATTAAGTTTTGTCTTATTAGCTATTGTATCTTGTGTCACCTAGCATGCTGTCAAGCATTACCTGACCTTAGCTCTCATTTCAAGCATTGTTAGCTTTAATTCAATTCCCTGACATTTTCACTTATAAATCTGAGACAGTAAGCTCAAATTGGACAATAAAAGCATAGAATACACAAGATAATAAATCACATAAAATATAGATATAACAGTGTAGTACCCAAACTTATGGAATGGTCCATTGTCCTGTGATTCACTCTATTAATTTGTAGATAACACCACATTTTAAAGTGTACTTAATCATTTATTTTCATTTATAAATTTAAATTTGTACCTTATTTTGTGTATGGGTGTTTTGTCTACATTTATGTCTATGTGCCAGCAGTGCCTTGTGCCCATGGAGGCCAGAAGACGGCATGAAATCTCCAATAATTGGAGTTACAGATGGTTGTGAGCTGCAACATGGGTGCTGGGAATCGAACCCACATTTTCTGAAAGAGTAGCCAGTGCTCTTAATCGCTGAGTCATCTCTCCAGCCCCTTTTTTGTATTTTTTTTTTTTTTTTTTGAGACAGGGTTTCTCCGTAGCTTTTGGTTCCTGTCCTGGAACTAGCTCTTATAGACCAGGCTGGCCTCGAACTCACAGAGATCTGCCTGCCTCTGCCTCCCGAGTGCTGGGATTAAAGGCGTGCGCCACCACCGCTCGGCCCTTTTTTGTATTTTTTGACATTTTCTTATTCCAAAAAATTTTTAGGTAATTTGTTAAAGATCT